CTTTCAAAAGCGGGCTGCGTCCTTGCCCCGGCCTTAAGGGTGACATAACCAGAACCCCCCGCCCCCCATCCCGCTCCCCTCCATCCCCTCTGGAAACCCCTACCTCTTCTCATCTTCTAATTGCATTATCAAGTGTTTGGCCCATTAATTCCTTCCCAGAGGACCGGCTTCTGGTTGGTTTCTAGCAAATCCTACCCACGTCTCATAAATCATCGTAGGAAACGCTACCGGTCCTTCTCCGTCACGGGGACTGGAGCCCTCCCGCTCATTCCCGGGCCCCTGCCGACAGCAAAGCAGTCCCTTTAGCTTCCTCCCCGAGCCTCCCTGACAGTCCGGCAGCGAGAGCGTTCAGAACTGGGCGCTGGCCAGCCTTTCCGCCAGGGTGTTCTGTGGCCCAGCTCGCTGGCACACGATCGGGTACAGAAACAGAGTGTCTCCAGGTGGCTAGAGGCTGAGACTGAGGGGGGAGGGGCATGTCTGCAGGATCCACTGCCCGATGTGATGCTCTCGTGTGACTAAACTGAGAGCCAGAAACTGAAGTCGAGATGTTTTAACCCGGGTCTCCAAAGCGGGGGAAAGGTCCCGGGAACCACGCGGTGACATTCCTACGTTAAAAGTCACCATCCATCTTCAGTGTCTAGAGTGCGCCCCCAATTTACAGATGAGGAAACTGAGGCCAGAAGGGATCGGTGGTTTCTTCTGACAAGAGTGTCCTATCTTATTCCTGGGTCTCGAGTGCTCAGCAGCCTTTCCGTTCATAGGGGACCAGGGCGCTCCCCGCGGAGGTGGCACTGGGCCTCAGCTCCCTGCGGGCAGGACCCACCGGGGTCGGGGCCGCCAAACGGCTGGCTCGTTTGAGGCTCTGAACCGGGCAGGTCTGCACCCACCGAGGGCCCTGGTGAGAGTTCACCCCACCTGGCTCTGCAGGTGAGCAGAGCCTCAGGTTGGGGTGCTGCCTGGCACTGCGGGCATGCGCCCAGTCTGCCCGGTCCCCGTGTGGTCACTGCAGGTCCCTTCACCTTCTCCTCAGTCAGATTCCCAGTGGCTGAGCCCACGGACTCCCTGTGGCTTGAAATCCGAGTGGCGGCTCCCACCAAGTGACCCTCACTATGGGGGGTGCTGGTTGTCCCCCCGGGTTCTCTTTCCCCAAAGGAGGAACCGGAGGCTCACGGGACACCTGGCCCCCGCGGTACATCTCGCCGGGGGAGGGGCAGTGATGCCCTCTAGGTCAGCACTTCTCTCACCTGTCCAGTGCCGCTGTCGGTGCAGGGGACGCTCCAGGCTCACCCCGAGTTCCAGGCGTCTCCCCGCGGTGCCCCGTCCTGTAACTACCTATGTCACCACAGGGGTGATATCCCTCCAAGAATCTTTGTAACCCCAGCTAGATCAGGCCTTAAAACCTTTTACTTTTCAGTGTATGGTTTATTGTCATCTCTTGCTTCCAATGGAATCTACGTTTTAATTAGTTTGGAAACATAGGTGTGATATTTTACAGAATGAGATCACTGCCCCTGTATTTAATTAAATGAACCCCATAAAAGTTGCGTTTTATCCGGGGGCGTAATTGACAATAGGCTGGATTTGCAATTGCATTAGCACTTACCCTGGGTCATTAGCACGTGAGATAGAAATAGATGGTGACCACGGGGCGCGAGTCCTCAGAAACCAATGTCTTCCCATAAAAAGACACTGATGTTTTAATTTGGAGAGAGTAGACCGTCCTTCCCAAATACCATATTTACACATACCCTGCCCTGCTTGCCCTCCGGCCCTGGAGACCTTCGCAGGGTTGCGGCTCGGAAAGGTGGCCAGGATGTGTGAGCGCCTCTCCCCGTGGGCTTTCTCGGGAGACGGTGAGAGTGGAGTCTGTGTCTGGGCTCGGGGCTCGGCTGGTGTCCCAGCGAGTGCGGGGGGGCGCGGTCTGGCTGTTGTAGTGAAATGCTGCCCACCGTGCCTGCCGTCTGACCACTTCTGACGCGCCTCGCACGCGCTGCGGCCTCACTTCTGCCCGAGGAGCTCTCCCGTGGGCACGCCAGGAGGAGACACGTCTCAGGAACCGCAGCAGGTGCTTCTGGGAGCGAGTGACAGACAGGTGGACAGGTGGGCTGTCAGTAAAATGTACCCCCAAATGGGCAAGCCCCCCGCTCCGTATTAGTCCTCAGCACGTGGGAAGGGGCAGTGGGCACGTGACCCAGGCGTCAGGGGGACCGGGAAGGAATCGCCCCACGCCCTCAGCACGATCGTCTGGTCTCGTCTCGTCTCGGGAGGCCTTCCGCTAACGGACACTGGAGTCCCTTAGTGTCACGTCGTATTTGCAGCTGTGCTGTGAGCCCAGAGACAGGCTGATTGGATTTCCACCGTAATTGCACCTGCATTCCAGAGCCTGCGGTGAATTACTTAAGCATTTAATTTATAATAAAGATGAACTTGGCAATCAGCATTTCTTGTTCCAAAACGTTCCACTTACTAGGCCGTAGAGCCGCCTAAACTGTTGTAGAAGCCGTCCGCTCCACTGGGCGATATTGCACTTGGCCGCCCGCCACGCGCGTTCCTCCTGCGATGGAGGCCGCCGCCGCCCCCTCACGAGGCCGCGGTGCTCATCCCGGGAGCAGAGGCTGTCGTTCTCGGTTGGCTGGCGGCGTGAGTCATCACCTCGCCGAGTCTCCCAGGGATGCCATTCCAAGATGACAGTGTAATAAGTGTTATGTGCACAAGGTAATTCAAAACAAATTTGGCTGCAAGAATGGATCGTCTGGGTTAGTGACTGCCGCCCCGTCTCATCGGCTGTTAGGAGAGCGTAATGATCCCGCGACGCCTTGTCAAGAGCTTGTGCGGCAAGCGGCGAGTCCGGTGCCATTTATCTGTCGTGCCCCTAACGAGTCGCTAGAAAGTCGAGGACTGGAGGCATTAATGTGGGTGTCGGTGGCCGGGGACACGAGGTGGGCAGGGAGGGAGCCTCTCCCTGTACAGGAGCTATTCAGGCCCCTGGACCAGGCTGCACTTTGCTCCTTTGATTTATAGATGATTGTCTCCTGGGAAAAGGTGACTGTCCTGGTAACGGGTCCCCATCGGCCCCCTGGTTTCTTAGTAAATTCTTATCCCTTAGACTAGCGGTCTCAACCTTCTGGCCCTTTAAATACAGCTCCTCATGTTGTGACCCAACAATAAAATTATTTTCGTTGCTACTTCATAACTGTAATGTTGCTGTTATGAATGTTATAATGTCAATATCTGATATGCAGGATGGTCTTAAGCGACCTTTTTATAAGGGTCGTTCGACCGCTAAAGGGGTCGCGACCCACAGATTGAGAACTGCTGCTCTAAACAATATTGCCTCTGTTATTGAAAGTGGTATATTCTTATGCAGGTCTTGCTGAAGTTTTCAGACTTCATAAAGAGCAAGTCCAACTCATACTAAAATGTTAGTGAGTGACAATGTCTTACTGTGCCTTCCCCACACTCCCTGCCTCTCCCTAAAGATCTGTATAATTAACTGACCCCTGTGAAAGGGTCGTTTGACCGCCAACGGGGTCGTGACCCACAGGTTGAGAACCGCTGGCTTAGACATTATACCCAGATTATTCCATGAAGCTTCATAAAGCCCCCAACCCTTCGGTGACATTCATGTTGTCGCTGAGACAGGGAGACAGAGAGAAGACAGTTACATTGCCCAAAGCCCCCATGCAGGCGCCGGTCATGCCCCGATCCCAGAGGTGGGTCCCTGTGCAGCCACCTGAGCCGGGAGGAAGGTGGGGGTCCCCTGTGTGTGGAGGGGCTTATTGGGATGTGTGAGGTGAACAGGTGTGTGGCATGCCAGACAGGAAACGGGTCGGTGTTCGCCCTGGCACTTATGAGTACACACTAACGGCATGCCTACTGGGAGAAGGTAGTGTTCATCTAAGGGGTTTAAACTCAGGATTAAATTGCCGTGCGAGTGATGTCAATTTGCCAGTTTCTCCGCAGGGAAGGTTTGAGAAGCGGGGGGACTTGGGGAGGTAGCTATTCCGCAGCACGGTCCCTATACCACAATCCTGTACTTGCCTTTAAGAAGCAAACCAACCACTCGGGGAAGATATGGAAGTAGTTCGGGGCCTGGTGGTGGTGTCCGTGTGGTACTGTCACTAGATGTAACCAAACTGCAGGACATGATGTCGTGTTCCTCCACCGTGGGGGGTATAAGGGGGGGAAAGTAAGCGGCTGGATTTCCGTGTTGCTGGGAGCGACTTCATTTTCTGGAAACGGTGCTGGCTGTGTGTCCTCTCGTGTGAGTTGTTCTGGACGTAGCCGGGGTGAGTGAGTTCTGAGGGTGCCACTGGAGAGAATCCGGGGCACAGCATCGACGTTCTAACCACCACGCGGCCTCTGTGGTTACTGGACGCTCTGGGAGAGGGCGGTGAGGACTTGGGGCGAGAAGGGCAGACGCAAGGGCTGCGCACACGCGGAAAAACCCAGCCACTACACTGCCTGCTGGGCTTCCCAAGCGTCGGCCATCCGAGCTCCTTGGAGTTACCGCCGTGTCCACCTGTGGCCTGTGAGTCCCTTCATATTTCCAACTGGCCTTTTAAAGAGAAACAAAAGGGTTTCATTTCAAAAGGAAGCTCCCTGTCACTCGCAGGAAAGGAGCAGTCACACCACCTGGCACACACTGGGGAAACGCGCACCATTACCGTGTGACAGTGTGATTAATTCCAGTCGCTGTCACTCCTGATGACGGCGCTGAGCCTGCAGCCGGGCCCTTCTCTCGGGCGAGATGACGCGCTGGTGTTACAGACATTCCAGAAGGAAGCCAGGGCGTCCCGCTGGGGATCTGGTGTTGATGCCACATCCGCAGACCTGCCAACCACCCCTCCCACCAGGCCTTCTTCTTGGGGACCGGAGATGGAGGGCGAGCGCGGGGGACCCGACATCCCCACGTGCCCTCCCGCTGGCCGCTTGCACGTGAAAACCGTCTTTCGGGTTCTGCTTACTGAGCATCGTGTCTCCCCTCAATATTTCGACAGGTCAACGGCAAAGACTTATCGCGAGCGACGCATGACCAGGCTGTGGAGGCGTTCCGGACGGCCAAGGAGCCGATCGTGGTGCAGGTGCTGCGAGAGTTGTTTGAACTTCCCGGCGCCGTCGGAGGCGCAGCTGGTGGACGCGGGCACCCAGACCGACATCACCTTCGAGCACATCATGGCCCTCTCCAAGCTGTCCCCGCCCAGCCCGCCTGCGCTGGGGCCCTACCTCCTGCCCGAGGAGTAAGTCGCACCCCGTGCCTCCCTCCAGGGTTCCCGTGCTGCACTCTCTTGTTTATGGAGGCGATAAATTGAATCCTGTGACATATTAATTACTTTATTATAAGCCTGGAGCAGAGTTATTCAAATTATATCCTAAGAGCAAAATTACTTACTAATGTCGTAAAAGTTGTTTCGGGATAAGATTTAATCACCGCAAGTGGTGGCGGGAGGGGATGCGGGCGGTGCTTCTTATAGACACAAAGCGAGAGGCCCCACAGGCGTACCCACGTGCCCCCCAAGCTGGGAAACAGTGCGAGGTGTGGGTGACGGGCCTGGCTGTGTGTCCAGGACCTGCTGCCTGCCCGGCGGGCCGGTGACCGCAGGGGCACCTCACAGCTGTGCCTCTCCCTGCAGGCACCCCTCGGCCCACGAGTACTACGACCCCAGCGACTACCTGGGCGGCGCCCACCAGGACCTGGACAGGGAGGAGCTGGAGCTGGAGGTGAGGGCGCTGGTGTGGGGGCCACGGGAAAACTAGTCAGTTCTCCAGACGCACAGATGGGGGCTCCCGGCGAATTTCCTTCCAAAGAACAACCGCCCGCTGTTCCAAAGGCACCTGAGAAGCAGACCCCGGGGCCTGGGGTCCTCTCAGTACCTGCAGCACAGAGGCCAGTTGGCATTACACGGCGTCTGGAATCTTCCGTCCTCTTTGGCCTCCGATAACACATAAGGGCAGAGCTATGGATCTGCTGAATTTCTGCGGCCCAGGAGTCGGTGGGCAGCCCTGTTGGGGGGCGTGGCGGGCCCTGCGCTCGGTCACCTGTGCTCGAGTGTGAGCGTGAGGAGTGGTGACTAAGGAGCAAGGGAGGCGCTCACGGCAGTGCCAGGAGGGTGCGCGAGAGCCAGGAGGGTCGGTTATGTCACTTCCCACGCCCGGAGCAGGACTGGCTGCCCTGTCTTTTGAATATTTCAAATAATTAAAAAACACCTAAATGCTGCTCTGGGGCCTGTGGCCGGGCTCCGTTGTGGGGGGAGAAAAGCCTGCTCCACGTCCAGGCGTCCAGCGGGAACGAGCCCCGTGGTGTCCCACGGGAGGACCGTGCGGAGCGTGTGGGGACGTCCTGGGGGCAGGCGCACAGGGGGGCGGTGTTCTCTCAGAAAGCAGGCGGGATGCCCCACTCACGTCAGTGTCAGGTCCCTGCTCTTGGGAAACCGCTTCGGGGTAAAAGGGCGATGCTCGCGCATACCCCAGAGTCGAGCACCAAACTCACCCGTAAGTTTTTCACAGGCTGAACACCTGCTCTAGACAGGCCTGTCGGCAATTCCGAGAGAAAGCAGGCATCTGAGGAGGCTTTGTCCTTCATCTACTGTTTTAATTCCCCATTTGGTGCATCAGTGGCTCCTCCCCAGTCACCTGGGCTCCGCTGACGTGATTCTGACAGCAGCCAGGGGGCACTGCTTCCCCCAAGGCCTGGGGTGGCGCTCCTCATGGGTCCCTGGAGTAGGTGACAGGGCACTGGGGTGTCCTGGGGCGGGGGGTGGGGGGGGCACAGGATGCCCAGCCTCAGCCTCCCAGGCACAGCATGGGCTCCTCCAGATCCTTCCCTGGTCAGCCCTGAGTGCCCCCCGGCCCCCACCCAGTCACCTTCTCAGGGCCCTCCCAGTGTCAGGGGGACTTTGCACCACCACCTGCCCCAAGCCCTCCCAGCTGCTGCACAGCCCCCGAGGAGGCGACCCCTCCAGGCAAAGCCCCTTTCCCCGACCCCACGGCACCACCTCCTGCCTGCTTCTGGCTCCCCCAGAATCCATGCCCACAAGAGCTGGGCTCTGGTCCGACTCATTCACATTCCTCCTGCCTGTGCCACACTGGCCTGGCATGGGCACCAGCAAATACTTGCTGAATGGAGGCGTCAGGGCCGTGGTTCCCTATCCCGAATGGAAGGTGAATGGAAGGTCAATTGAAGGTGAATGGAAGGTCAATTAAAGGTGAATGGAAGGTGAAGGAAAAAGCAGCCTTTTAGAGGCAGCTCTACATCCCACCTAGCACCTGCTGAGAGAAAGTGTTGAGATAATTTAAAGAAACGTGCAGAGCAGCGTCCTGGACCAATAGGGAAGAGTTGTGACCCGCCTTCCTACAGGTAGATCAGCCATCACCCCGGTCCTTGGGGCCCTCGGAGGAAAGTGCCTGATGGGGACAGGACCCGGAGAGCGTGGCTCCCGCGGGGGAGGGGCCTCTTCACTCTCTTAATTGGACTAGCGTTTCAGTCGCATCTGAAATGTCAGGCGGAGCCGCTCCTTGTTATCCAGGGATCCATCTACCGATAAGCCACAGGTCCCGAGCGAAGGCTGTAACCCAGCACGGGCCGTGCATTATTCATCCCATTCGATTCACGGTCTTGGGAAGCGTGCCTCCGTCGTCACGGGCAGATGTGTGACCACCTCTGTGCCGCGGTGGTGTGCTCACCGTCAGAAGCAAACGTTGAGAATGTGCAAAACCCTCGATAACTTCGGGGAATTGTCACTTCCCCCGAGTCCCCAGATACCATGTCTGGTTAGAGATTGTCCGATAGCCGCCTTCATCCCCCTGGCCAGCACCACAGTGAGGACACAGTCCGGGACGCCGTGATGAGCTCCGAGGAAGCCGCTAGAAAGAGGCAGAGCTGGGATCTGAGGTCGTCACAGCCCCGACTCTCCCCCACATGACACTCCTCCGGGCACTGGAAAGGCAGAGGTGCTGGGAATAGTCAGGTCGTGGCGGTGCTCATAGAACTTGTCAGGGTTTCCCATGATGCCCCAATAAAACGTGAGTTCTCACGGGGCCCTCGCTGGTCCAGCCTTACCATCCGCCCCTGGTCCTGGCACACAGAGCGTCGGCCCCCCTGGGCCAGGACCTCGGTGCCTGATGTTCTGCCTCACGGCGTCCATGGCAATGGGCACCCTGCCTTTCCCAGGGAGGGTTAGGAAGTAGCTGCTACACAACCGCTTTGAGCTTCACCCCAAAGACAGAACCCTCCTCACCCCCCTCCACCAAGAGCCTGGAGGGAAGCATTTGTCCCCAAAGACAGTGGCTCAGAGACCCCAACTCAGAGCCCCTCCTCGCGGGTTGTTGAGCAGATAACACTAAATCCAGACCCAGGGGCCTGCTGCAGGGAGAGCGCCCCAGACAGCCCTTCCCATGGGCAGCAGCTGCGGCTGCAGAATCATGCCTGGTGCGGGCTGCACCCAGGAGAGGGCAGCGAGGCCGGTCAGCTCGCTCAGGGCCCCAGTACTTCCTCCCGGGCCCCGACAGTCACCAGAGCTGACTTCGCTCCATGTCAGGACCAACTGGCAAATACGGCTGCGTCCCCTGTGCTCAGGTGTCTTATAGTCGGGCTCTCACCTTATTTAATTTGCAGGACTAGCGGCTGAAAGTAATTTCCGGACTATGACTATGACAGCTGCTGTGGGGAGCAGTCATTGCTGCGATCGCGTTACCCCCTTTCTCAGATCACTTTCCGTGTGATCTGTTCGCAAGTTCTGTCCCTGTGAATAGTAAGGCAACACAGCCTGCAGTCATCTAACCAAACGCATTGAGGCGTGAAACGGCCAGACGGTGGGGAACGTGGAAATATTCTTATCTGTGGCAGACGTGGAAGGAATGCTTTTTAAAACCCCCGACCTCTTGATGTTGAATGAAATATGGGTAATTTTTCTTTGCGGGGATCAATAGAATAACTATTTCCAAAATGACTTTCTATTGACTGAAAGGTCAAAAATGCCGTGTGCATTGATCCTGAGTCCATAGTCGCTTTGGGTTTGGTAAGTTAGCCCCTCTCATAGTTGGCTGCAAAGAAAACCAGTCCATCATTTAAACGACCTATTTTTAAAGCACCTGAGGCCCCGGCGGCCGCCCCGCGGGCGGGGGTCTCACGGGGCCTCTCTCTGCAGGAGGTGGACCTGTACCGCGCTAACAGCCAGGACAAGCTGGGCCTCACGGTGTGCTACCGCACGGACGACGAGGACGACCTGGGCATCTATATCAGCGAGGTAGGAGGGCAGCTCTTCACAGCCACCACATCGGGACCAAGAGGGGGTTTTTCTTTCTTTCATGTGGTAACCAGCCCTAACTCTGCCTCACTGAGTCCCTTGGAAAGACACAGACACACTTCTCTGTCCCTTTCATCACACCCCATGGAGCCCCATCTTTCCTGGGGTTATGTTCTACTGTCGGCACAGATGGCGACATTGCCCCGGGGAAGCCTGCAGACCGGCCATAAGATGTTGGTGTGTGCTCCACCCCGAGGGAGCGGCCGACGCTCATTTCCAGTCTCGTGTTCTGGGCCGGTGGGATCCCTCCCACTGCCACGTGTTTCTCCTTCCTTTGGGTAGAATGTGTGTAGTCGAAGTCATATAAGTTGCATGGACTTCAGAGCAGGTAGGCAGAAGTTGTTTGATCTTCTAGGGCAGTGGTCGGCAAACTCAGGAGTCAACAGAGCCAAATATCAACAGCACAACGATTGAAATTTCTTTTGAGAGCCAAACTTTTTAAACTTAAACTATATAGGTAGGTACATTGTTATTAACTTAATTAGGGTCCTCCTAAGGCTTAGGAAGAGCCACACTCAAGGGGCCAAAGAGCCGCATGTGGCTCGCGAGCCGGTTTGCCAACCACGGTTCTAGAGAAGACTGCACAGCCAGTGACCCCAGTGCAGATGCTGGGAGCTCACGTCTGCAGGCACGGAAACCGTTCTGTCGGGAACGGAACTTGTCTCGATGGCATGAGCATGGGTGTGTCGGTCCGGCCCAGTAACCTTCCCTCTGAGTTCATATTCTCCGTCCACCACGCTCCAGTGGGCCTGTCGGCACTGCCGTCAGGGTCTCTTTCCCACAGGCAGTCCTCGTGTCCCAAGTATACTTCAGGTTTTGTTTTGTGGGGGGTTTGGTTTTGTTTTTAATATATTTTTATTGATTTCAGAGAGGAGGGGAGCGGGAGAGAGAGATGGAAACACCAATGATGAGAGAGAATCATTGATCAGCAGCCTCCTGCACGCCCCCCCTCCCCCACCAGGGATGGAGCCTGCAACCCGGGCATGTACCCTTGACTGGAATTGAACCCGGGACCCTTCAGTCCACAGGCCAACGCTCTATTCACTGAGCCAAACCACTTCAGTTTTAAAGTTATTTTTTCAAAATTTATTAGAAACATTTGGTAAAATAATCGAGGCACGGTTGCTAGTCACCGTAGTGATTTTCATTTCTCTGCAGCAAGAGTCCGCTGTGCCTCACGTCCCCGAGGCTGGCAGGGCCAGGACACGGGGCTGTGGGACAGGGTTGCCAGGCAGGGACCAGAGGACACGCCCTGGGAAGTGCTTGGAGACGTGGACCGACCCATGTTTGCTCCCTGGCATCACGCGGGTCCTGTGTAGGCACAAGCCTGGCTGTGTCAGCGCCTGCCTTTGGGAAGGGCTGTTGTGTCCGTGCGCGTTGAACTCTCCGCCGGGTGCTGAGATGGTCACTGTTTTTTCCAGATCGACCCCAACAGCATCGCGGCCCAGGACGGGCGCATCCGAGAAGGCGACCGCATCATCCAGGTAGGTCGGCCTCGCCCCTGCCCTTCCGTGAAGATCAAACTGGTTGTAGTGACAGCTCAGGGTTAAAGAATGAGGGCCACAAACCAGGGGTGTAGGGAGGCCAGACGAGTTCACTTAGTGGGTGAAGCCCAGCCCTGGACAGTAAATGCACAGGGAGTGGTGAGGACAGAGACAGTGGGGACAGGGCACCCCGTTGAGAGGGCAGCGCCCCACACCCCAGCAGGAGCTAGCTCACCTCGTGCTCTGAGCTGCTGTGCTTCGATCTGTCGTGACATTCCTCACCGTGAGTGATTTTGTCATTTTCCACTGCTTATTCGACATTCCTTTAACCCAAGACTTCAACCCAAACCTCGGCTGCTCAGGGCCCCCCATCTTGTGGAGTACCCCCAAACCTTCAGGACGGCTCAGCCTTCCTGTGGTTGCTGTGGGCTTCCAACGGCGTCTGCCACTTAGCATGGCCCCCTCCTCTCAGCCACCCCATTTCTCCTTGGTAACCGAGATCCATCACCCCAGTCAGCCCTCCACGGGCCTGTTGGGCACAGGCGTAAGGAGTTGGTGGGAGGCTCAGTGGGACCAGCCATGTCCCCTGGAGGAATCGCCCACCCTGGGGCTGACACCTCCAGACCAGCAGAGCCCCAAATTCTGAGGACAAGAAGCCGAACTCCTGCGGGAGGGTTACCAGGGGTGATGGTGAGAGAGCCCCCTCTCACTGACCATCTGTCCTGCCTGAGGCTGGGACCCAGACCCCCTTTACAATCACATTTCCTTCTCTGCCCTCAGCTTCCATAATGTTCCCATCAGACCTGCCACTGCTGCTTCTTCCGTGTTACCCTAAAACACCTGTAATAACCCTTCATGCTTCCCCTTGTACTCCTGCCCGAGTCTCACGTCTGAGTGAGTTGCTTACCTGTTCCTCTTCACACGCTCCGTTCACACAGCCTCCACGGTGCCCTGGCCTTGGACACCGGGGCTCCATCCCAGGCCAGCGCTGCATGTGTCCAGGCACGGCCCCCTGACAATTGAGCATTCTCTGCAAGCTCCGTGGACCTTCCATGTCCTCGCCCCAAGTGGGTAATAGCTGGAGCAGCGCAGCGTGATTCTGCGTGATCTACTTCTGCGTTTGTCCACCCTCCACCTTCTTTTCTCTTTTTTTAAGATTAACGGGATAGAGGTACGGAACCACGAAGAGGCTGTGGCCCTTCTAACCAGTGAAGAAAACAAGAACTTCTCCTTGCTCATCGCGAGGCCTGAGCTCCAGGTGAGTCCACTTCCTGGGCCTGTAAACCCAGAGTCCCTGTCCCTGCAGAACACCGCCCAGACAAGGGGTGAGGCGGGCGTTTCCTGGAATATAGCAAACAACAGGCAGACTGCCCTGGGAATGTTTTTCCCCGAGGAAATGTCTTTTCTTTAAAAATATGAATGAGTTACATGAGAGCAAGAGCACTCCCCTCTGAGGCGTGTGCTGGCTGCCGCTTTTTTCTAAACCCAGAGTCCCTGTCCCTGCAGAACACCGCCCAGACAAGGGGTGAGGCGGGCGTTTCCTGGAATATAGCAAACAACAGGCAGACTGCCCTGGGAATGTTTTTCCCCGAGGAAATGTCTTTTCTTTAAAAATATGAATGAGTTACATGAGAGCAAGAGCACTCCCCTCTGAGGCGTGTGCTGGCTGCCGCTTTTCCCCAGCTGGACGAGGGCTGGATGGACGACGACCGGAACGACTTTCTGGACGACCTGCACATGGACATGCTGGAGGAGCAGCACCACCAGGCCATGCAGTTCACCGCCAGCGCGCTGCAGCAGGTAAGGCCCGGCTGCCCTCGCTGTCCTTGCCAGGCCACCCCCGGCCCTCGCCC